TCCCCCCCCCCTAAAAAAAGGAGACAAGAAAAGAAAAGAAGGAACATGAACCGAAAACGAGAGTGGGACGACGGGAAATCGGACCCAACGGCTGAGACGTAGGTGTCGAGAGAGACAGAGACAGAGACAGAGACAGAGAGAGAGACAGAGACAGAGACAGAGACAGAGACAGAGACAGGGACCTAGCAGCTACACTTGGCAGACTTGCGGGAGCGGATGTAGAAAAGTTTTTCTGGACCAGAGAGAGGTTCTAGTCAGAAACATGATAACGCAGGGTCTCTACAAAAAAGGGGGTCCTTACAGGGCAAAATCTCTGTCATCTTCGCACTGATTTCAACAAAACTTGGTACAAATAAAATTCAAACACGAGGACATCCGGTTTGTAAACATGAAGGAAAATCAATCAATATGTTCGAGAAATATTAAACTTTATAATAATGTCAATCAAAATTGGATAAAATTTAACGCAAAATTTTCCTTCTTCACGATGTTCAGCTACAGGGGCGTGACCTGCATTTTCTGGTTTCAGGACAAGGGGCAGTATAACCACGACAGTTACTTTAGATGGATATCTCACTGGGCTGAGACAGTTTTGTTTTAGTTTCAGTAAGTGTTTAACGGCACTTGCAACACAATAAGGTCATACAAGTGCCGAGGGATTAGCGGTGTTACAAGAGAGTAAAAAACACAAAAAAAGAAGGAGGGGACATAAAGACGATTGGTGTTTGATAGGAAAGAAGAAGCAAACCACACCAGAGCACACGCCAACCACCCGGAAAGTTTTGCAGAAGTTTGGGGAGACGATGTTATGTTGTAGAGGCGTGGTTCCAGTAGGATGGGGCCACACCCCACACGCCAAGACAGGCCCGTGTGTGGTTGTAAGAAAGGTTTCGGGAACGACTTAAAAGCCAACAGCCATTACAAATGAATGGGGACCACATTTTCCTTCACTTGAGCGAGCCTCTTCAATTATTACCTCTTGTTGTTGTTGTTGTATTTTATTTGATTACTTTTTTGGACAAAGTCTACGGAGACAACCCACACACAATCGGGGTGTTAAAATCTCAATGTTGTACAGGACGTCCAACAACCGACCCCAGGAACATGCCGTGGTGTGCATTGCGGTGAAAGGGGTGATGGTGAAGGGGTGGGTGGGGTGAGGGGGTCCGTTGTAGGGGTCACGGGGGTACAGTACAGTTAGTGGACCACTGACCTACTTTATTTGGTCTGGGAGAAGGTTCGGACATCGGGCCACATTTTGACCCCACCGGTGTCTGTGGTGTAGGGGTTAGCGGCTTTGTTGTCGCAAGGAGAGGTGAGGGAGTCTGTCCCAGGTGAGGGGGGAGGGGTGAGGGAG